ACAAAAGGGTCACACATTCTTTTATCAAAACATTAGCAGTGTAAGCATAGACAAACTTAGATATGGGAGATATAGTATCTCTTATTAAACCAAAGTATAAAACTACAGAAAACAGAAAAATGAGATGCACAAACCTCTCTAATGAATCATGTGCAGGCAATGAAAAAAAAAAGGGTGTTGTTAAAGATTAAGCTACTTCTGTCGTCAGCCCAGTATGGAGAAGGAGCTGAAATCAGTGAATGCCCCCTAGTAGGAATTCAAAACATAGAGGAGGTATTTGCTCTGATCTATAGATAAGAAACTGCTTCCAGTTTCTCCATTTACGTGTGGGCCATATGTAAGATACCATGCAACAGTGAGAGTAACACCTGATACTACTTTTTGTTGTTTCTGTTTACATTGAAAGATTATAGGAGAAAATTGCTCCATATAAATCAACTAATTAAACTTTGAATAGTGCCAATGTTATACTACTTCAGTTCTATGATTTGGTGATACAAATTTCGAGGTAAGTTACAGTAAATCAACATATAACTCACGTTCTCTGTTCCACCTCTTGCCTTAGCTTCATAGATCCCTATGGCCAGATCACTGTGTCAGTAGCTATGTGCATGGCAGTTATTCAGGGCAAATAAGAAATGTACGAATGTGTGTCAGAAATCAGATAAAAGATCAGATCAAACAGGAACCATCTTCTTCCAGATTCCCATTTGTATCATAAGAATTTAAAATACTATTCAAAATATCCAGAACAAAATACAGTTGTCTTTATGCCATTGTGATAAAACAACCACATGGAGGCAGCGAGTTGTTACTCTGTCCTTAGGTATGCTTATAGGCATATTAAAGGAACATAGCTTCTGGTGGAAACTTCTGATAGAAGCCTCTCCTATCACTTTTCATCTTGTCTTGCTGGTAAGCTGAGTTTTCAAGTACTTTTCAAAGAATGTCCATGGCTTTGGGTAAAGGTGTATTTGGCAACAGGTTTATTGCAGATCAAAATTGAAGTGAATAAACATCTTTGAGACTCTTGCCAGCTGGCTCAACTGGTAACAATCTCAAGGTCACACAAGGAAACAATCTGGAGCCAGGTGGATTGAGATCAGAAGGGTGCAAAGGCCGTCTTACACTTCCATTCCTAAACTGCTGTTTGTGGACCTTGGCAAAAAGTAGCTGACAGCTAGGAAATGTATACATTTCTTGCCAGCTCAGCCAAAGTGAGGCCAATTTTTGGGAGGCCTATGAGAATCCCATTGCAAAGTTTTATTGTCATAATTTACAAGGTGCCTGCACAGCAAGTGCAGCCAAAGGATGATGATTCAGCCTGTGACAGATGTAAGAGTCCTGGAAACACAGAGGTGTTCCAGCCAAAAGGGCACGTGTGCTATTCATAGCATATGTTTCATGAAATGTAATGTCTTCTTGTGTTCTGCTTCAGTGGTGGGTAAATGAGGAAAAGGAGGTGAGAAAGCTGAGAAAGAAAAATCAAGCTGTAAAGGTATTAAAATTAAGTCTTAAGAAAAAAAATAACAAACAATAGCTGTGAGTCTTCTTTGTCTTTCCTGCTCTTTTCCCAATATACATGTACTATATTTTTCCCCAACAAAATTGCTTATCCTAACTTCAACCAGTTGATAAAAATTCTAACTGAAGAACTGAGACTGGGTGAAGAAAGCAAACAGACAGTCCATAAGCGTCCAATCTTTTGGCTGATCTGGGCTGGACTGAGTAAAGAAGAATTGTCTTGGGACACATATATGTAGGTCGCTCTGAAAGTAATGCTTCCTTTTTATACCCATGGGAACTTCAACAGATACAATGAACACAGTAACTCTGCTTGAGCACCATGTCTTAGCCAGGGTTGCCACACACTGAATCAGGCTGCCTGGGGTTCCATCCAGCCTTCTCTGGGTAGCCTGTCCCAATGCCTCATAATCCTCCTAGTAAAATATTTCCTCCTAAAATATATTCTAAATCTCCTCTCTTTAAGTCATTCCCGCCTGTCCTTTCTCTATCAGACTCTATAAGAAAGCTAGTCTCCTTTTCAAGTATTGAAAGGGTGCAACTAGGTCTCTCTGGAACCTTCTCTTTTTCAGGTAGAACAAACCCAGCTCCTACAGCCTGTCTTCTTAGGAGTGTGGTTCAGCCCTCTGAGCAATTTAGCATATTCTGTTAAAGTGATTTTACTGAATTATAAATGTTCAGCAATCCTAAGTTCTGCTCCAGAGAAAGAATAGTTAATTTCCTAAATTAATTCTTAAAACCTATTTCAGAGTATACCTGTATTTTGAAGACATGGGCAAGTGAATATACGAATGAAGCATAGAGGAGGGCTTTTGAGAGGTTTACAGAAGGATTTACAGTAATAAAACCTATATTGGAAAATTCTACTGATGCGTAACTAATTGAGTAATCGAAGCTCCTTTGTAACTATTGTTAGTATTGGAAATATTTCTTCCATCTATTCTTTTTGTATTAACATATCACATTATCAGTCATGTAGCTGCTGTGTTAATTAACATTACTTCCACTCTTTTACCGGACAAAGCAACTTTATACTCTTCATTTTGCCCCACAATCCAAAAATTCAGCACCTTTTCTGAAAACGCTAGCCATTAAATTATTTCATCTTCTCAAAAATCTATTGCTCTTTATAAAGAAAAATATGAGGTGAAGAAAAAAATTAAATGTGTTTGGCATTACAATAAAGAATATGCTGATGTCTTATCACTCTGTGTGATGTATTTTATTGTTTTAAATTAAAAAAAAAAAAATCCAATTTTCTGCATTATTGACTAAAGCACTCAGACATTAAAAACTTGCTACTACAGAATGTGGGCTGATGTATCAGAGTGTCAAGATCTGATAACCTTGAAGCTTTCTGAAATGCTGAGTTTAAACAAGAGATTTCAGATAATGTATTGATACAATAAGAAAGAAAAGCTTCAAACTTATGTGGAGTGCTATGTGAAAGGCTTCTAGGTATCACTGTAAGGATGCTTCATATTCTATTTTTTTTTTCTGCAGAATAATTAGATATATATATATTTTTAAATAAATATTTTAATGTAATTTATTACCTACTAACAGAAGTAGAGTCTTGTAGCATTGTAGTTGATTAAAACTTGAAAGAACAATGAGATGAATTAAATTTATCTTACCAATTTGAACTTCAAAGAGCTTATGGTGAGGAAGAACAGTTTTATGGCCTACTAATTAACAAAACTGAGGGTGAAAATACATAATTGTTCTCAGAGTAATCCTGCTGGGCTACTTTCAATTAACCAAGCCTCGCAAACATGCTTTTCTAATTTAAAATAGGTAGGCAGAATCTTGTATAATAGACATTATGTCTAGCTGACATTGGCTGAGAGTGATGGAAATTATGGATTGTTCAACAGAAATTATGTCCTTCTGCAGGGAACAACAGATATAAAGACAAATATTTGATTTGAGTGGAGTTTTTAGACCATAGCTTGATAAAATACTTAAAACAGCTATAATTTAGAAAGCATAAGAGCAACACAGAAATTTCAGAAGAAACAAATCTTATGCTATCTAATGCTACTGAAATTAAACGTAAAAAAAAAAAAAAAAAAAAAAAAAAAAAAAAAAGAAAAAAAAAAAAGGACTGAGTGGGATGCCAATGGTATTTACAACAGATGCAGAGCAGCATCACACTAGAAAATAGGAAGGACAGTCATTCATGTCATTCATGATTCATGTTGGATATTGACAAGACTTTGGTGACATTACACACAGTCAATTACAAAGTTATACAGGATGCATCAAAAAGGTTTTGTTTGTTTGTGGAATTTATAAATCTTCTTTACATTTTTTTTTTTTTCTTTTCCCAGGGATGGAAACAAAGAGCTTCCAAATTTTCCAGCACTCTGATGGTAGACAGAAGCTGGTAATATTTATAGTTTTCTTATAATAAACATATCTGACAATTTGAATGCCAGTAAGATGGAAAGCACTCTCCCTATTACAAAGTTTTGTCCATCAGTAATATAACATGGGATTGCATTCTAGTGAGATCCTTCAGTCTACTCCACAAGGTGTTGGTTATAATGAAGCACATTTGAAATGTCTCTACAGCAATGTATGTAGCATGAATAACAATCAAGAGGAGCTATAAGTCTTAGCACAGTTTCAGACTTACAACACTGACATAAGTGAAAGCTGGTGGGAAGAGCCATGATGAACAGTTCTGGATGCTTCAGTAGGGACAGGCAGAGCAGACAATTTGGGAGGTTGCCAGTGTGTATGAGGGAATGGCCGGGCTGTGGATCTCACAGCTGGTGATGAAAAGGTTGAGATCCTCTGTGTAAAATGAGCAATTTAAGTGAATGTCACTGGTGTTGCCGCTCTCTCTGCATCATTCGTTTTCCACCCCATAAGATGCTGCTTTGCCAGCGAAACCGACCCCTAACCAGGTCGGGGCCAAATGCTCACACAGACCCCAAGTATAGGTGAAGCAAAATGGCGTTTATTAAAATGTAGCAGGCACTTAAATATTCTCGTCCCGCTTTGTCTACACCCCTTGCATACACGCTGTCCTATTATGGGACAGCACCTGGCAAGCCCTGAGCATAGGGAACCTGACCCCGTCACACACCGTCTCCTCGCCACGCCTACTACACACTGGGGAGCTCCACTATCGCCAACCCAGCCGAGATGTTGACATCAACAAATTATTACTTAAGAAATTATTTAAGACACCTCTAGACTAGCCTTCCTTGTCCTTATGGAAGAATTCAACTTCCCATGTGATAACTGGGAATATCATATTTGATACAAATAGGTCCAGGAAATTCCTAAGTCACTTTGATAATACCTTCCTGATAAAGGAAATAAGGGAGCCAACAAGGAAAAATGCAATCCTAGATTTGTTGCTTGTATACAGAGAGGTTCTCATGGGTGAAGTGGGAACTGATAGTCATATTGGCTATAGTGACTATGAAGTACGCGAGTTTTAAAATCTGTGGTGAGAGAAGGAAAGCTGCCACAACCTGAATGTGTGGAGAGTAGAATTTAGGCTGCAATTAGTAAGGTTCCAGTTGCCTGGAAGCTGGCAAACAATGTTCCGGTTTTCAAGAAGGGCAAGAAAGAATAACCTGGTAATTTCAAGTCAGCAATCTAAATTCAGGGTATGGTAAATCAAAGGGATTATTGTAGGACTTACTGAAAAACACTTGAAAAACAATGCAGCTATTCATCACAGCCAACATGAGTTCAGGAGGTAAAAGTCCTATTTAACAAACTTAATTTAATTTTCTCTTATGACAAATTTACCCATCCAGTAGAACAAGAGAAGCACACTGATGTAATTTTTAAGATTTCAGCAAAAATTTTGGCACTGTTTCTTGCAATATCCTTCTGGACAAAACATCTGTCATACAGCTAGACAAATGAGTAATGCAGTGCTTGAACAATTGGTTGTTGGGCTGGGCTCAGAGGGTTATAGTAAATGGAGTTACATCAGGCTAGTGGCCAATTGCCAGTGGGTTTCCCCAGAATAATATTTTATAAATAATATAATAATATCAGAATAATATTTTAAAGTAATATAATATAAATATAAATAATATTATTTTATAAAATATTTTCTTTATTTATAAAGAGTGTACAATAATATATATTAAAAAAAAAAAAAAAAAGATTCTCTTTTCTCTCATTTCCTGTAAAGAATAAAGTAGTGTCAGACTTCTTCTTTAAATATCCCTTTTACACCATATGCAAAGCAACCCTGGCAATGCTTCCTTTAGCTAAGGACTACACTGAATTATTCATGGGAAAGCCATGTGTCTCATGAACTGAAATTTTTCCAAGATTCATGTCTCCTTTCCCTTTGTGTTCCACATGTGCTCACGCTACACATCCAAATGGCAGACATAAACAGATTAGATGTACATTTTTTCATGTTCAAATCAATGTAGCCTATATAATGGAATTTTGTTTGGACAATCTTTTTTTTTTTTTTCCCCAAAGTTGATTTATGGCACTGATTTCTTCAGAGGTAGAGGGCCACCAGAGTTTGTATTGCCATCTCTTTTATGAGATCTATTAAAAACCACATATATTTGTGGGAATACATGAAAAAATACTCAGAGCAGAAGCTGTGGAGCAAGATAGATGGCATGGGAAAGGAATGCTGAAAACCAAGGATACCTCCAGAAGGAGAAAAACAAAGTCAAGTAAGCTGCCTGATAGCTGCGTGGCAACAACTCTAATTGGAGGAAAGGTGCATGGCTAGGAACGACTCATGATTCTGATGGGATAAATGCCTGCATGCAAGGTTAAGGAGTGTTTGTGGAATGTTTCATTGACATGTAAAAGCGGGTGGAAAAGTAACAAGAGAAAACTTGTGAATATACATAAGGGGTGTTTGAACCTGCAGTAAATGATGTGGATTGTTCACATCTGAGTCTGTGCCTCAGACTCTGCATATCCTTACACAGTTGTTTCTTATAATTCCTGTTGTTAAAATAGTTATCACAGGTATAATCTTCCACAGAAATTTTTTATTTCTCATAAGCAAAGACATAAAACACTTGAACATTAATCTTCATACTTAGCTAAGAATACAGAAGAATTTTCTTACAAGGTGATTCTGCACCTCCCGCATATTGTTCTAATACTTCCTCGCTCTGGCACTTGTACAGACTTTTAATGAAATCAGCAACATAGTCTGCCACAAAATATACTGATGACTGCCAGATTGATTTTCTACTGAGAGCAGTGAAGCAGCTCACTGAGGGCCCAGCATGCACTGGATCCAGCACAAGAAAAGTGTCAAGAACATGTATCTTGAGGCAAGAAAGGGAGTCAGTAAAGAGGAATCCGGTCAGGCAAGATGTCTTTTGGCAGTGGTGAACTATTGGATTGTTGCAGCGATGGTACATAATCTGATACATAGTACAGTTTCCAGTCTTCAAACTGTAAAATGGCAATTGATAATTATGAACATTGTCTCCAGTTTAAAGTCTTAAATTGGCTAGGTTCTATGAGATGATCAAGGTTCAAAACATTGGTGATTTCTCTCTTCAATTCCAGTTGATATTCTGAGAGATTTGATGATATTTTCTCTTCTTCCTTTCTTCCTTTCTTAATTATGTACCTCTGTTCATTTCCATTTTCTTGAGAAAATTCCAGATGTAGGCTTTTTTTGCTTTTTTTGCTTTTTTTTTTTTTTTATACTTCTACGATAAATATGATTCCCATTCACTATTTTCCCTTCACAACTTGTCTTTTAATACAGCCCTGATCTTTTCAAGGTCTCCTATAATGTTTAATGTTCCATTTCTCTTATTTTTTACCTGTTTTTCTCAGTCACTAAGATTTGCAGTATTAGATATTTGAAACATCTTCCCTGCTTCTGAACCACCTCCTTTTATATATCTAAACCACAAGTAACGGGAAGAGAAATTCTTGATTTTTTACCATGTCTTTAACAAGCTTTGTCCATTTTGTAGTTTTCATAAAAAAAGATTAATTCTAGGTCCTATTCTTTCTCCAAAAAAAGTCAAAAACCGTAAGTATTTTCTCAAATAAAATAAACTGAGAATGCATACTTTTTCAGATTCACATGCATTTAATAAATCACTAAATCTAAATCTTGATTAACGGCATTTTGCTTTACTTAGGGATGGTATACAATAAAGGATGTGGTAAAAGGAATACTTTTCCTTCACACCCATTTATTTGGAATGCACGCTTAATATGTACAATATACTAATGAGACGTTTCAGAGAAATATAGAAATCTTGTATCTGAGATGACTAAATCTGCAACAAGCAAATGAAATGCTCCTTAGTTATCCACAGTCTTACCACAGTAGTCAGCCTGTAAACCATGTCCATCCACTTCTAGACAAAAACATCAAAGTTATACAAAAACACAAAATTTGTCCAAAAGCAGCAAAAACTGACAGAAACATTCTTAGTTATGGTTGAAAACTACTAAAGATAACCCTTTCAATAAAAATCTTTTTCCATAAAAATTATTTCTGAGAATGGAAAGAGATAAAATCTACGCATATAAAGCATTAAGAAATGCTCTGTTTAAGATGTCAGAAATATACATATATGTATATACATATGTTACTCTAAATAGTAAGAATGTTTGCTATCTGTAATCTTGAATCTGGACCTTGTATTCCAGAGATTCTCTGATTGTTCTAAACAATATTTTCCAAAAATTATACATTCCAAAGGCTACATTTCAGTGAGTCTCTTTGTGCAATAAAACAGGTTCTAAATAAAGTAGCCAAATCAGTAGCAAGAAAAACTGCCTCAAGAGAGTCTGAGTGTAACTAAGCAACAGCAGCTGCCCTCTGTACCTTGACTGCTTGATGTTTTGGTATATTTTGTAAATTTATTTAACTTGATATTCTGGCATATGCATCAATGATCTCTTTCTACAACAGTCCTTGGCTTCATATGGAGTTTTCATCTAAAAGAAATCCCATTTGAGTGTGTAAAACTTCCCAAACAATTCTAAGAGAAATTGTAGCCATGCAGTGTATGTAGGTCGCTTCAAAAGTAATGCCTTTATTTCTGTGGAAACTACAATAACACTAAGAGCACAATAACACTATTTGATAGAGCAAAATGTCAGCTACAAAACTCTATTTTTCAACATAGTTACCAACGTTAGCTATGCATTTTCAACAGCAATTGCTTGCACTCGTAAAAATCCACACCAGCAGAAGTGACCTCTGTTGCTGTCACCACTGCTGAAACACACCATCCACTATCTAATTTTGCTCAAATCCACTCTTTGGTTGCTATAAACATTAAGCAAGTGTCACTGAACGCCAGTTGGTGCCATTTATTCCAAATGGAGGAATTCTATTACACACATTTTCTTCATATGCACTTCCGTGTCAGACACCGTTTTGTTAGGCAGCCCTTCTGCTGCTGTCTGTTACATAGCAACAAAATGTAATTGAATACTTTAGTTCAGTTGACCTTTTGTAGCCGAAGGCAACTTCATGAGCTGTGTGAAGAAGTGTATTAGTCTCTTAGAGGTGCAGTATTTGGGACACAGTAGAGGGATGAGAGAAAGGACAAAACTAAACAAGAAACTTCCAGTCTGCAGATCAGCCTTGGATGCTTTAACTTTTTCTGGATAAGAGAGAAGAGAAGCAAACAAGATAAAAAAGGTAGATATTCTGCATCTTCAGATGGATATAATTAAAAATGTGAAAATTTAAATATATTTAACTTGAAGAAGGTATATTTTTGGAACAAAAATTTCTCGCAGAATGCTTACTAGAAAATATGTTGAATTATAACTCAAAGGAAATTCCGCTGACTCAGAAAATTTGAAATGAATTATACTGCCAAAATGCCTCACATATTAGCAGGATAATTGAAACAATAATAATAGCTGTGATTCATAATATGGATTCTGTCCATAAGCCAGCTGTATATATTGTTTGTGTATATGGTATTTGTAGATATGATTTTACTCCTTAGTCACTCCATCAGTTTAGACAGAAATGTTAGCAATGAATTATTGTATGAAAGAAACTGAAAAGATACAGAATTTTATTTTATATGAACAAAAATACTGGGGGGTCATAATATCTTTAATGATATTATTAAGCTGCTGACACTACTCCACTACTGCTGCTCCACTACTCACTGAAATAAAGTACTGGTAAGGCCAGTAATAGTTAACAATTCCTCTATATGGAAAGAATTGAATGTAAAGAAGGTAAGGAAGCATAGTGAGGAGCACTCTCATTAATATTTTGTTGTTAAGTGCAGCAACAGTACTTGACATTGTATTTCCTTAGCCCCACTATTCATGCAAAGAATGATCATAGCTCCACAAGAACAGATCAATCCTACTACAATTTCTTAATGTGTTGGTTCCATCAATGGAGAAAAGTAGAGATATTCTGGACTCTTCCCATCATTCTGGTCAATGATTTCCACATCTGCTTTACATCTCACAAGTCTGTTTGCATAGTTGTGTAGAGTAGATTGCTGAAATGATTTG